GTGCTGGTGGATGAGAAGCTCAACATGAGCTCGCAGTGCACACTAGCAGCCCAGAAAGCCAACCCCATCCTGCCCTGCATCAAGAGAAGTGTGGCCAGTAGGTCACAGGAGGTGATTCCACCCCTCTGCGCTCGTGATATCCTACCTGGAGTCCTGTGTCCAGCTCTGGAGTCCTCAGCACAGGAAGGACATGGACCTGTTGGAACGGGTCCAGCAGAGATGCTCAGAGAAATGGAGCACCTCTCCTATGAAGACAGGCTGAGAGAGCTGGGGCTGTTCAGCCTGGAGAAGAGAAGGCTCCGGGGAGACCTTAGAGCAGCCTTCCAATATCTGAAGGGAGCTCCAGGAGAGCTGGGAAGGGACTCTTTGTCAGGGGGTGGAGTGACAGGACAAGGGGTAATGGTTTTAAATTGGAAGAGGGGAGATTTAGATTAGATACCAGAAAGAAATTCTTTGCTGTGAGGGTGGTGAGGCACTGGAACAGGTTGCCCAGGAAAGTTGGGGATGCCCCATCCCTGGAGGGGTTCAAGGCCAGGCTGGATGGGGCTTTGAGCAAGCTGGTCTGGTGGGAGCTGTCCCTGCCCAGGGCAGGGGGGTTGGAACAAGATGATCTTCAAGGTCCCTTCCAACTCTAACCATTCTGTGAGTCTATGATTCTATGATCTGGTGAACCTGGCCAGCAGAGCGGGTGGTGAGTAAGACATGCCTCCAGCTCCTGCCCACCATGCGGGTCCCTCGGGCAGCCCCGCTGTGTGTTCGTGGGGACGGGGTGTTCAGGTAACAGTTTTGCTCGTGCAGCAACTGCCAAAATAACTGGACAAGGCACAATCACGCACTTGAGAGCGCTGGAAACAATTTAAGAAATGTTCTTGGGACAAACGGTGGGATGCTGTGCAAACAGCTCCCCAGGGTTTGTGAAAGGGGCCCTGGCTTCCCTGCAGGAATGCACTCGTGCCAACAACCTGCTCCGCTCCTTTCGTAACCTCCTTCAGGCTCCCCCCGCTCCCACCCTGGGGTTTCAGGGTGCTCCTTTTGCAATAAAACCAGGAAAACAAAACCAGAGGTATTGCAAGCCCATGCCGTGCTACCTCCAGCTCCTCTTTTGTATTCAACACGAAGGTGAGGGACTTCACAAGGACTTCAACGCTCCCCACAGGTCTCCCCAGAGACATAACTTGGATTTTGCCCCTCTGGGGCTTCCCAGCTTCAGCAGACTTAAAAGTTGGAGCAGGCTCATACTGCAGCCCCAGCACTGCCGGACCCGGAGCTGGCGATGCGGCAGGGATGGGAGGGCTTGAGTTACAGCAATCCATCAGCTGCTAATCCAGCCTGCCACCCCACCGCTCCGTGCCGCTAGCAATCACGTGCGGAGCCCCGAGGTGGGTCTGCAGCACGTTTGCTCCTGCTCCTGCTCCTGCAGGTCAGCAGGGTTGAGGCAGTGCCAAGGAACCCCAAGAGAACCCCCAAGAGTACAGGGGCTATATGCAACTCTTGGAGCTTCCACAGGCAATGGGAGAGGGAAGGGGGACATCCACAATCGTGTCTCCCTGCTCTTTGGGACCGGTGTCAGGGTCTGTCCCTTCTCTTCCCATCCTGGTAGGGGAAGTCAGGAGACCAGCAGCAGTGCACATCAGGAATGGGCCAAGCTGACAAGGTCACATTCAAGGTATGTGCTCAGTCATGGAAGTGCTTCAGAAAACCCCATTTGCCACAGTGGGCAACCTCTGCCTGCACGATTTTGTCTGATGTTTATGAAATGTCTTTAAAGAGACATTTCAAAATGTCTTGCAAAAAGGGAGCAGAGTTGCCGGGTGTTTATCAAAAATTGCACGGCCTCATGTTGGCCCTCCAAAGCAGCCACCACCCTCTGCATCCATGGCCAGCTGATGTTGTAAGGGTGGAGGCTGTCCCACCTGCAGCAGCCCTGCTTTGCTGAGCAGCTTCTGGGCTGCACGCAGCCGCAGCAATGCGCAGGAGATGGGGCCAGCCCAGGTACCACCTTCCTACCCAACCTTCTCATCTGCTGTATCTTCCCGGTCACGCTGCCAGCTTCATCTTTTCAAATGGCTTTCCTTTACGTCTAATGCCTTTGTTCGCTGGTTGGTCCAGCCAGCAGATGGCTGGCCGGATGCCGGTGCTGGTACCCAGCAGCATCCCCGGGACGGCAGGGACCGTGTCCCCGCTCTGCCCATCGCCCACCCCCAGCACGGGCTCCGAGACCGAAGCTGCAAATCCATCCTTGGTCCTGATTCTGATCCCCCCCTGAAGCCGCTCCACGCTTCAGGCGGAGGCTCCGAACAGCTTCAAACACCCCCATTCAGCTGCGACAGCCTCCCCTCGCCACAGCACGCGGGGCAGGGGGCACAGCAGGAGCCCGCCCGGACGCACTTTGATGGCCACAAAGGCCACCTCGCACCTGCCGAGGGCTGTGCAATGGGCTTGCAGACAGCGCCAGGTGCGTGCCCCGGCCGTGGCCCCGTGGGGAGCCGGGGCACACGGCTTTTATCCTTGGAGGGGAGGGATGATGAGGAGGGAGCGGGAGAGAAGGCAAGCAGCCGCCTGGCAGGGGAGCCCCCTCCAGCAGCCCCAGGGGCACCCCCCTGTGCTTGGGGTGCCCACACCCCAGCCCTGCCCCGCGGTGTCATTCAGCTCCTCCATTTAAAGTGTCAGCCTCTTCCAAAGGCATTTTAACCAAATCACTGCTCAGTGCTTAAAGCTGTGAGATGTGGGAGTAGCTTAGGGCCAGGTGATGCTTTACAAATAGGAAAATAAACAACAATAATAAACAGTGCTGTAGGGGCCTGGAGCATCTCCCTCATGAGGAGAGGCTGAGGGACTTGGGGCTTTTTAGTCTGGAGAAGAGAAGGCTGAGGGGGGATCTGATCAATGCTTATAAATACTTCAAGAAGGGTGTCAGGAGGATGGGGCTGGTCTTTTTTCAGTGGTGCCCAGGGACAGGACAAGAGGAAATGGGCACAAACTTGAATCTAAGAAGTTCCACCTAAACGTGAGGAGGGACTTCTTTCCTTTGAGGGTGGCAGAGCCCTGGAAGAGGCTGCCCAGGGAGGTGGTGGAGCCTCCTTCTCTGGAGACATTCAAACCCCACCTGGACACTCAATTGTGCAACCTGCTCTGGGTGGCCCTGCTTTGGCAGGGGGGTTGGACTAGATGATCTCCAGAGGTCCCTTCCAACCCCATGGGATTCTGTGATTCTGTGCTGGTGATGCCTCTTCTGACACCTAGGAGCAAGCCTGACAGCAACACTGCATTCAAGATTGTGTAATTTCAGGCTTCATTAGAAGCCCGAGTCATAATTTCAGGTTCATTTGATTATCCCTGCATCCCACAGCCACATCATAAAGATGAGGGAGGCTAAGACTGTCCTTTTAAATGCGGACCGCTCGACTGTACTCAGTAAAGGCAAGGCAGTGACCTCATGGGGATGGGTGGATGAGATCAGAGAGGAGTTTTGCAGGCTGGAGTCAGTATTCATTAGCAGCAAATGGGAACCCTGTTTTATTCTGAACTGTCTGCTCTCTGTGCACATTATGTGCGGTGGCACGTCCCAAGGATGTGCCTAAAGCTCAGCCCTGATCTCAAGCTTCCATTAGAAGTACTTTTTTCTTGCCTGGGCTCGGCCGATGCGTATCGGATTTGCTCTAATCATCATCTTTGAAATGAGCCCTGATGAGGGAAGTGGCATCTGAATTGCTCTGGTTTTAATTTTTATAACTATGAATCATCAAAATAAGTTCAAGCCCTTTCTCCACCATTTGCAAACCTTCCTAATTCCTTATAAAGAATTCCCCACCAAAATTAACAGGAAAAATAGGAAAAGGATGAAGGCACGTTTACATTTGATACTGCAAAGCCAAACACCAGATATAGCATCGCTTAATGTAAAGCTTTCACTGTAGTGCACCACGGCTTTTTCTGTGGAAAACTGCCAGATTGTGGAAGGAAACCAAAGTAGTCCTGTGCCCATTTTGTCTCTGAGAATTACAAATTGCAGGGATGGCCGGGCAGAGCGCAGGGCCGGGGTGCAGCATCATCCCCTGGGGTGTAAAGGCTTCAGAGCCCCTGCAGTGCCCTGGGGCTTTGTAGGTATCTGCCCCATGGACCCCTGGGGAGGGATGGAATGGGAAACGGGGGCAACGCTGCTCAGCTCCTCACCCGGCCTTCTGGATCATAAATCACAGAATTGTTGGAGTTGGAAGGGACCTTCTAGAGATCATCTAGTCTAACCCCCCTGCCAAAGCAGGGTTGCCCAGAGCACATCACTCAGGAGCATCCAGGTGGGGCTTGAAGATCTCCAGAGAAGGGGATTCCACACCCTCCCTGGGCAGCCTCTTCCAGGGCTCTGCCACCCTCACCCCAAAGAAGTTCTTCCTCAGATTGGAGTGGAACTGGTGGTGGTACCTCCTCTGCATCACCCTGCGTGGCTCCAGGGCCAGGCTGTGAAGCAGACAGTCTTCAGGCACCTACAACCTGCCGAGTGATGGAGAACAGCCTTCTCCTGGCCAGCAGTGGTAGTTTGGGCCAAGACCCATCAGTGAAATGCGTACTTTGTCTGATGAATCACACCTTCAAACGCTTGTCACCCACACGGGTGGACCAAAGCCTTGGGCTGTCCGTGAGCTCATTAATGCAACATGATTGCACCTTGTGAAGCACCGAATCCAAGTCCTGGATGCGGCAGGGGAGGGAACGTCTGACTGGGGCAAAGCTCTTGCCATCACAGGGAGAACCTCATTAGGAGTTTTTTGTCCATTCGTAATTCTGGGGCAAAGGGTACAAATACATAAATGCTGCTTTGAAAAGTTTCGAACTTTGACCCGCCTCCACTACTACACAAAATTATTTTTTCCAAATTACTGCATTATGCAGCAAAAAAGGCTTTTGCCATGTATATGCCCACACTTATTAGCTTGACACCAGAGAGATCAACAAGCTGCCGTGTAATAATTTTGATGGAATCAAACACTTTCGTAACTACAGCCTGAAATAAAGCACTATTTATTACAGATATTGTACTAGTTTGCAAAGGCCTCAGGAGCAATCAGGACACATTGCACCAGACACTGCCAAGGCACAGAGCAGCGGAGACCCAGCCTTAAAGCACCTCCCAATGTAAATATATATCAGACAGACAGGATTTATTTGCTTTTCATGATAACTCAGCCCTTGACTGACCCCAGACCAGGCAGGGTTCAACACAAACGGGCCTGAACTTTCACGACTCCCACCAACGAAGGCTGCTCTTTCTCCAGTGGCTTTCCAAGGATCTTTCCTCCCTGACAGTAGGAGAACCAGCAAGTAATCAGTTCTAAAAGCAATTTTTCAAAAAATTATTTACTTATCCACCTATTTTGATATGCAGCGATTTTAAATCAGCCACTGGATGCCATCTGCAATGCATTTATTCCAGTTGCTACATGAAAGTTTGCATATTCTCAGTACTCGTCTTCTAAACACACTTGGCACCTCAACAACCCTAGAAGCACATGCAATCATGTTAATTAACATTAACTCAGTGAGTAACATAAACCAGTGCACAATTAAATTGCCAGACTCTATTCTCTCTCATTCATGCTCTTAACAGTTTCACGTGACAAACAGTCCACATCTGAACGAGGCTGATCAATCAAATAATATAGATCCTAACTAGACCCCTTCGTTAAATCAAATTGTGTTGCTCGGTACATCAGCGCAGGTTGTGGAGGCTTCCATGTAAACTGCTCAAATGATGATAAAATCTCCCAATAAAGCACTTCTGCTCGTTCAATTCCAAGGTGCGTTACCTGAGGGGTAGGTCCCATTCTTCCCAGTGGGGTGAATAAAGAAACTGAGACCACAGGACACCTCAGAGAAATCACTTGTATTACTCACCTCAAACGGAAGGAATTTGACCTCTCAAGTCCCGCTCTAGAGGACAAAGTTTGATCTAATTAATCAAGTATTACCCATAAAACAAACAAAGCGGCGTGTGTTCCAGCAGAAGCCCCCCTCATTAATCTCTCTATGGCCATCACTGCTGCTCAGCGTTACAGTGGGAACAAACAGAAGCATATAATCTTACAGCTGGTGTATTGTCAAAATGACACATTAGCAGAAGGATTTACAGATACGTTGGGTTATGAAATAAAGGTTTGCACCTTCAGAAAACGCAAACATTTTCTCTGCACAAGGAGCTATGCACCAGAGAGAAAGCTGCTCCCTGAAAGCTGTGCAGAACCCAGAAACGAAGTTATGGTATCTGTGACTATTAAGGTTTCCTGCCTCCCCCTCCAAAAACAAAAATATCAGAAACTACAGTGAATACACAGCTGCCAGTACGTACAGACCACAGTGACAGGCTGCTACAGCAGCTGCACTGAGGTCCTAAGCAACTATTAAAAATAGTGGTAGAGCCGTGCCATGAAAACAGGAGAACTGGCCACGTTTACTTAGCCTTTGCGTGCAAGATCAACATTTGCCTCTCAGAAGTAAATCCTGACCCCAGGGAAGCTGGTGTTTTGCTAATGACGGAAATTGAGTGAGGGTTTTAATGCAGATTTTACTTCCTAGTTTATTTCGAGAAAGATTTGTTCTGTGACAAGCTGAGACGATCGAGGCAGACATATCTGCAGTCTTCTGTACCCATGGAACCAGCAGGAAAACCTTTCTTAAAATGATGGTGTTTTATTTTTTTGGTAGGTTGGGTGCTATGTTGTTTTGGAACCACATGAAGCTGAAGATGACACCCATCGTCTTCGGGAGAGTCTCATCATAAGCAAACTTCATGGAATCTTCTAAAGGTATCTCTACAACTTCAATCAGCTCTCCTTCTTCAGCCTGGCCACCTCCTTCACCCGTTCTCATCTGGTCCGTTACTTCTGCGTAAAACAACGTCTGCCTAGAACCCGTCACACCAACTCCAGACCTGGGAAAAAGCAGAGAGGAAACTTTGGTTTAGACAGAAAGAAGGCAGCTAGGGACTAGGAATGGACACCTGGGTCCTTAACTTGTGTCACTAAGCAATATCAAAACGCGCGTTATTATTGTCTCTTGGTGTCATTTAGAACCTATAAATACAGTTTTGTTAATACAGACATCGATTGCCACCTTCACGCGAAAAATACCAACGTTTTTGAATACAGCTGCATAGGAAATGCATTTGTCTTCAAATATATTCTGCAACTTTGGAATAACGTTAGTTTTGGAGAAAATAAAAAAAAAACAGGTTTTGGATTGGTGAACCGTTGTTCTACATAGACTGAAGTCAACAGAAGGCTTTTTTTCAACTGACCTTAGTGTGAGCTGGGCCGCATGATGACTCACAGAGATGTCCAAACAACAGAATGAAGCTCCTTAGTATCTCTGTATGCTGTCATGCTAGATTTTTACTTGTTTTTACACAAATATTTAGATTTTTTATGCAAATATTTAGATTTTTAACTCTTTAAGAAGATTATATCCATTCACAGCTGGAGTTCTCTACTCATGGACTGAATGGGTACAGGAACAGAAAGGCAGCCTGAGTCTTTCTCTATCCTTCCTGAACTTTAGCCTTGACCCAAATGGACCACCGTAAGCACGCGTGTATCTGAAGTAATTCAGTCTCCCCACTAAATTTGTTACAGTGGATTTAGTTGAGGATATTTTAGATTATATAGTCTTTCTTCAGCTAGACCGCTTGCTGCGTATTATACTTCTTATTTGTTAATCCTCTATTTCCTTAGGACTATTTCATTTAGGTATTATTAAATAAGGGATAAGTACATAATCCACTCATTTAGTTCTTCCAAGAAAATATTCACGTTGTAATCACAACTTCTTCGTTTCACATGATTACAAGTGACTTTTCACATTGAATCTGGAACCAAGGCTCGTCACAACTTCTTCGTTTCACATGATTACAAGCGACTTTTCACATTGAGTCTGAAACTATGAATCTGGCATTAGGGCAAGCTGAAAAATTAGCTTCCATATTATTATACATACAGAGGATTCTAAGATTTGTTGCAATGGTATGTTCTTAGAGCATATATCAATACTTACCCAACCATTAGTCAACAAATCTTTCAGTTAATTCAGCATAAATCACAGCCCATAGCAGGAATTAATAATTTGTCTCTCAATTTTCCAAGAACACCGGCAATTATTTTGTTTGGAGAATTAATAGCGATTATTGAAGTTGGTTTCTTACATCAATACACGCCTTTTTAAAAACACAGAATAGGGAATTATTTTCCTAAAATGACTACTGATAGGTTGTGTGACTTTGGGAAAGACGTTTCGCAACTCCAGAATCATTCGTGCATCTCTATGAAGTGCTCAAGAAACTTAAGCATCTTTGGCCCTACCAGGTACTCTGGAGGCTGATACGGGATTTCGTTTGTTCTGGGCCCATCACTTTATTCCCGTGTCAGTAGGAAATGCTATTTAAGCTTTTCTGATGAACATCAGAGATGGTTTGCCAGTAAAAGAGGCAGAGAGAGCTGGGATGCTAGTTTTTATGCTCAGGTGCTATTGGTGCCCTTTCTGCCACAAGGATGACAGCACAGTTTATTAGATTCCCTTTGTGTTCAGCACGTTTTTCTTGGCATTACCAAGCAATAATGTATGTTAAATAGCAACACTGGAAATGAAATACAAAGAGCAAACAGCTCTTTTTCATAATCCATCGCAGCTGGCTGTTTAAGCTCTAGTCATTCAGTCACCACTCTTCCCCAGTTTGGTCACCCCGATACCTGTCACAGACCCATCCGCTGCCCACTCCTGATTGTTGTTGCCATCTCCATTGGAACCTCACTGAGAGAATGGCATTTCTGATGGAACAGTAGACTGTTTGCTTATTTTTTGTTCCCTCTTTTCCTTCTTCTTTTCTTGAGTGAGGCAGCAGAAAGGATTTTTTTTTTAAATCATCTAGAGAATGGGATTTTTTTTCCTCTATACAGTGATTCCTTGTTCTTCACTTGTTTCTGCAAGAATTGCATTTTTAGTAATTAAATAAATCAAATGTTTTAAGTAAATTAAATGTTTTTGGTAACGTTTAATACAATAAAAATAAAAACCATGTTATTCTATACAGTAAAATTTGCAAGACAAAGAATGCAGCTTGCTATGCTCCATAGGTACTATGAAAAAACACAGGACTATGTGTAATATATTTAATGTTATGTTATTTCTGATCAGTATCAACTCTAAGCTTCATCTGGAGAATGAAAATGCTCTTAAACTGAGGTCCTTAAACTCCACCTGATATTATGTAAAGGTTATATACAACACCACAGAGACTTTATTTAAGAAGCCCTTCTATAAGAAAGTTCTGGCTCGATTATTTATAGCATCAACTCCTTCATACCACCTGCTATCATTTACTTATGAAATAGTTGCAGCTGTAGAAATCACAGGAGTTCCCTTTCCACAAATCATTTCTTTAAAATAAAGGAAAACAGCTTCCTGAGGTGCTACGCCATAAGATTCAGTTTCTTGCCACTGTAACATAGAGTGATTTCAAGATGCCATTATTTCATTGCATGTACTCATATGATACTTCTATTAAATCAGTTTTCCTTCTCTTCCAAAGTAAATACATCAAGAGTGGCTACTACTTTGAATATACTTTAAAAGAGGAAAGCACTGGACATCACTATCTTTCTTTTGTTATATGCCCACAGTTAAGGCATTTCTTCATGTACACTAGCCTATCATTTGCCACAGAAACCAATGAAAAATTTGCGACAATACATATTCCAGGGAGAAAATACCCACATGTTCAGTCTTTCTTATTTGATTACCTAACTTACCTTGTTCTGGTGCAACTTTGCCATGACTTATTGGTTAAAAACTAATAAAAACTTCCAAATGAGTCAGAAATACTCAGGTAATTCTACTCTACTCTTCCCCCCCAAAAAAAAAAGCTCTCAGCAAATTTAATGTTTCTATGACTACTTAGAATCCTCTCCCTATTTAGATGAATGACTTTGGAGACTATTGCATGACATTATTTATGTACATATTCATGGGTTTTATTGTCTAACTACATACCTATTTCAATGGTTTCAGAAAGAGGTTGAAAGATACAGGAATATTCTTTAATTAATAAAAAAGGGGCATATTTCTTACCTTTTCTATTTGATTTTTTTTTTAATCTAAATGCTTACTCTGTCAGTTGATCATTTTTGCATGGATCCATGTGGAATGCCCTTTACTAAATTAAATATTCTCCAATACTGCCTACTGCTGTCTTTCACAACAGTTCCAGCTGTGCTGCCCTTAGTAAAATTGTCCAAAAATCAATATTGACATTTCATTTGTCTTAGTACCTTTGATTTTTATAGAAATCAAAAGTTAGCAGGTTTAACGCTTTGAAGCCATTCGGAGCCTCCATCTGGTTAAAGAAATAAAGTGTTTTAACACACCCCCTTGGGAAATGTGTCTGCATTTCAGTGACTTTGGGCACTTGGGGCTGCAGGAGGAAGAAAGGGGCGAGGGAGAAGTTGGCTCTGGCAAAGAAGCAACAGGCTGCTATTATGCTTTCAGTATGATTTCAGGTTCAGCTGTCGCTGGGTACTTCCTATGCTTCTGCACACTTACTTGCACTTTACAAGTATGATGATTAAAGAATTTTGATGTCCTTTTATTCCTCGTTATATTCCTTTCCCTGCTGCCTCTTTCCTTTATCCCGAGTCCGTGGCATAGACTTTTCCATGCCCTAGTATCTCGCATTAGAAATAAAATGCTTTCGCCACCGTCTGAAATTAGTCACCTATTAACAGATTACAGCGACATTCATTAGCTCTGCATCTGTGGAAATCACAGGGGTCAACACAGCCACACTGCAAGTGATGGTTTTCACCCTGGGAAAACCACCTTCCTGATCAAGGTGTCTCCCCTTCCCAGTACAAGAGAGGCTTGGTGGGGGAGGACAAGCGGCCTCTGAACTCCCAGCACCGGCCCAGGGTGAGACTTCATGCTTTGGTTTCACCCCACGGGTTTAGCACCGTGCTGCCCAGACCAGGCATGCCATGGCTCATACTGACCCAGACCTACTAAGCCTGGCTTGACCTAGCTGATCATTCCAGATGTATTTTGGTGTGTCTGTACAAGTGCTTGACTTATTTACCACTGTGGGACAAATGCAAATGACCTATACAAAGCACAGCTCTGTTTTCCTTGTCTCACTATCATGAAGATCAGTTTCCCATGAGCAGTTTACAGTTGTTTCAATTAACAGCTACATGGGTGACAAATACTCTTTGTCAAATCATTAGGGCTTGAGCTAACAAACGCTGTACCTTCAAATGAGAGAGATTTTTAAAATCAAAAGTCTGTTAACACTAAACTTTTCACAGAATCACAGGATTACATGGGGTTGGAAGGGGCCTCTGGAGATCATCTAGTCCAACCCCCCTGCCAAAGCAGGGCCACCCACAGCAGGTCGCACAGGAACGTGTCCAGGCGGGTTTGAATGTCTCCAGAGAAGGAGACTCCACCACCTCCCTGGGCAGCCTCTTCCAGGGCTCTGCCACCCTCACAGGAAAGACGTTCCTCCTCATGTTTAGGTGGAACTTCTTAGATTCAAGTTTGTACCCATTTCCTCTTGTCCTGTCCCTGGGCACCACTGGAAAAAGACCGGCCCCATCCTCTTGACACCCTCCCTTGAAGTATTTATCAGCATTGATCAGATCCCCCCTCAGCCTTCTCTTCTCCAGACTAAAAAGCCCCAAGTCCCTCAGCCTCTCCTCATAAGGGAGATGCTCCAGGCCCCTCATCATCTTTGTAGCCCTTTTAGCATTGCTTCAGAGACAATTAGAAACCTCCATCACCTTTGACAGCAGCAAGTCTAAGAATGTAAGCATGCCCAAGTAAGGATACCAAAGCGATATGGCTTTCATCACAATAGTTACTTAAACGTTAAGTTTAACACATCCAAAC